GGAAGATTTTGAGCAAGCTTACCCATAACTTATTCGACGTGCGCCCAGCGTATTCACCAAATTTTTCATACGTCGGTATACGCTGGCTTTCATACGGAGGTGTGACAGCGCCATTACCAACTGTGACCATGCCAACCATATGCCAACGTTGGCCCAACGTCATATTGCCATTTGCCAACCACATGCCAACCGTGACCATGCCAACGTTGGCCCAACGTCCAGGGGCATAAATCCGTACCGAGGAGTGGGGGGGGGATGATCGGCGATAGCCGGGGGCGAAATTAACTTTGGCTGCCGCAGGCAGGCCCGCGTGCCGTAGGCATGGCAGTGCTAGGGGGGTCTGGGGGACATGATTTACATGCCCCCCAGAAAATTTTGAAATATTTAAGCCATTTTCCTGCAATCTGAGGCATACCATGGGCCATATTCTCATGTCTGATGACACTATCTCAACCCTAGACTCGATCAACCCTACAAGTTATGATTCAAAACACCTTTCATGACTTTTCAGAGAGCGTACACAGTTAGGTTACTATAGTAATAATACATGTATTAAAACACAGGTAAGAATTGCAATTTCTCACAATTTCACGTGTTTGCAACCATACTTTTTGACTATTCTTTTTTTTCTCTTATTGTTTTTTGAATCTCAGGGGGATATTTGTACAGGCCATCCCTCCTCCTTCAAGAGCGAGGGGGATGCATCCCCCCCATCCCCCCTCCGGGATTTACGCCCCTGCCAACGTCATATTGCCAACTGTGACCGTGCCAACCAAATGCCAACGTTGGCTCAACGTAAGCATGTTATCTGGGTAGGTATAAGTACTTCATCCAGACATGTAAAACCAGTTTGATAACAATCCCCTAATCTAGGATAAATAAAAGTAAATCATTTGATATGTAAAGTAATCTAGATTGCAAGTAATGTAATTAATCTAATGAAAACTTGATATGAATTGTATATTTTAGAGATTTTTACTGAATTTGTGAAGTTTTCCTATACATCTATTGTGCTATAAATTAGAGGTGATTGAAAATGCAGTCATGATGACATATGAGTAAGGAATGATAGACATGATTTATATATAATATGATTAATGACTTTACTATATATGCTATTATAGCTTTATCAGTCTATTCAATCAAGGATTAATTCAGGAAACAAAGGCATGTTAGACCCCCAAAAAAATTGTTTGTTTCTCGGGCCCCGTCGCATCTGCTTTTTGGTCCCGCATTACCCCTTTTTATTACCCCACCCCCAAAAAACCTGCACTCGAAATTTGACCAACAAAAATGGTACATAAATTCTATGAAAGTTCAAAAAATGCCAAAAGGCCAAAAGGTGAACTGATACATGTAGATCTCACCATTTTCTGTATTAAAACTAAATACATTGACCAGAATCTATAATTAATATTCTTTGCTTGTAATTGTTTTTGTATTATTAATTAGATATGTTTGAGAACATTCTGATATTGTCTAGGGGCCTATGGTTGTTTGTATATTAATTAATTTATATAATCAAATTTTGCATTGAATTTTAATTTGAAATGTCTAACTGTTTATATAACTATAAGTATCTAAGCTTTTCTTTTTGATAATAATCATTGTTTCAAATAAGTATAGATATTGAACATGGACAATGTTTTGTTTGAAGAATTTTTGTTGTTGGGTGAATTCGAAGTTTGTTTGTTGAATATACTGTAAAAAATCTTATATAACTATGTAATCTAAAACGTTTCCAATGACAGAGTTCAACTATTATTTTTGTTTGTTAATCATTAATAATTTTCTGCAATTTATAGGAGTGGCTGGCTAGCTAGAAGACTGTATTGTCATTTCGCCCTCCATCACTTGTATTATTTTCTTTTATGTTATACCGTTCTGCTGAATGTAATTTGTGTAAGTGTAAAAAAATCAATAAAGTGTTTGAATAGGCATCTTATCAATAACTGCGATCTGTCTGTCTGTCCCGCCGCAAACCGATTTATAATTATAATGTGCACACCGATCCAGGTTTTTTTAAAGTAGAGAAAGGCACTAAAGGCCATCAGATAAATCATAATGTTATGAATCGAAATTGCAAATTACCTCTAAAATTAAATGTAATAAAAAAGGGGAAAGCCAGGTTTTAGAGTGTAATAAAGTCAAAACACTATCATATATTTACCATATTATTATTACCAAGAGCGGATAATACCTGTAAACATTTATAATATATATATATACATTATATAATAAACACAAGTTGTAGCAATCAGTAATGTAACTCAATGCAGTGGAGAACGTGCCCTTCTCCACTGGGCGGGTTCAGAATAGCCTACAACCCGCACTGCCTAAAACAACAACCAGTGCTGTTTCAGACCCCCAGCACTGTGTGTTGTAGCGTATATTATAGCCTGAGTGTAGCCCCGCTAACGCTCTGGTATTTGCGCCCTCCCTCCGTGTTATGGAGGGAGGGCGCACATGACTTCCGATGCTTATACGGGCGCATTCTACTTTTCCTCCAGATGGAGCCACCGAGCAACCAGACGATCTCAGTCGTCACCCCGTCCGTTGAAACGCTGACGCGGCCGCCGCCGGCGACACCTGGCGACCTCACCGGCGCTCGCAGACGCACCAGACGGTGCTGCCGCCGGCGCCCTCTACCGGTTGCCGCGTGCGATTACGACGCGCGGAAGAGTTTCGCCGAGCTAAAGTCCCTCGCGCAGCGCTCCACGGCTTGCAGAGACTGCTCTCGCACGGTCTTCGCAGGCGACCGCTTGACCGCCTCCACGAGGCGCGACGACGTTTCCGGGACTACGCTGACAAGGAGTTGTTGTCGCTCCGTCGCCGCCGACGACCGCGTTCGTGCTCGCCACCCGTCGGTCTCCGCCTCCTCCTTCCTTCTCACGCCTTCCTCACGGTCCTCCCTTCTCACGCCTTCGTCACGGTCCTCCCTCCTTCTCACGCCTTCGTCACGGTCCTCCCTCCTTCTCACGCCTTCGTCACGGTCCTCCCTCCTTCTCACGCCTTCCTCACGGTCCTCCCTCCTTCTCACGCCTTCGTCACGGTCCTCCCTCCTTCTCACGCCTTCCTCACGGTTCTCCCCCCTTCTCACGCCTTCCTCACGGTCTTCCCTCCTTCTCACGTCTTCGTCACGGTCCTCCCTTCTCACGGCTTCCTCACGGTCCTTCCTCCTTCTCACGTCTTCCTCAGTGTCTTCCCACCATCGTCTCTTTGCGGGCTGTATGTTGCCAGATGCCTCTGACGCACCTGCAACGAGAGGCAAAAACGCGTGAAGAGAAATGGGTCCGGAGAGGAGAACCAGGGTTTGTCGTCGTCGTCAAAGCGAGAGAAATCAAATCGTTTCACATGCAGCACCGGGGTGTCAATGCAGGCTCACGGCACGAAAACGTTGCGGGAGAAGGGTGAGAAATCGAACCGTTTCACATGGAAGCAACATTTGATTATAGAAGTGATATACTGAAAATGCTACCATCAAGTTTGTCCGCGATAACGGAGATTCATCGCGCGATAGCCGTCGTCGTGGCAACGACGCTCGTGGCAACAACGACGATTTACGACGCGCATTTTGAGCGGCCGAAGGTAGCTTCTGAGATCATATAGTGAATCATTTGGAACTCCTACTGAGTTTAGATGGAGATCGAGATAGAAGGAAGATCGTTGTGACAATTTACTGAAGACTGACAGTGGGAATGGTCAGTCCTTTTGTAGTGTCGATCGTCTGCACGTAATTTGCTCAAATGTACTACACATGACCAGGGGTAGAAATTAACTTTTGAACACGGGAGTCCAACGGACTCCCTACCCTCAAAAAGAGGAAGTCCGTAGCAAAATGAGGAAGTCCTCCGTCTAAGGTTCAAAATTAAAGATATTAACAATAACGCATGTGCTTATTTTTAAGATTCGTGCGGTTGCACGTCTGCCCAATTTTCTTTGGACATTAGCTGAAAAAATACGGTAATTCCGCGAGGCCGTGCGCTGGAATGGACTAGTTAGTATGGCAGAATTTTCAGGGAGTCACACAGACTCCTGCATATGTCAAATCAGGAGTAAATCAGGGAGTATTTGACTCCAGACTCCTGTTAATTTCGCACCCTGCATTACCTAGTTTTCTCTTCTGCCCGTGAATTTCCTTGTAGCTTTTCACGAACTGAGTGGTTCTCATCATGTCTCTGTCCATGAGTGACATAAAGCATTCCTGAAAATTAAATCATACGTTTGCATAAGTGGCTTGTTTTGCGACACATGTTGTTGTTTTTTCACATTTCGAATATCCGAACATTCTGCAGCAGCACTACATAACTATAAACAGTTAGCAGCACTTTCTGATTCAATGACAATGAAGCTTAGCTACCGACCTCGAAACTTAAGATTTCATGTTCCCACAACACATATGAAGAGGGCCATGATTAACTAGTGATCGCAGTTTGTACAAAACTGCCAGGCTAAACATCACCTAATATGGACAAGCTTTTGCATTATTAAGAAGCTGATTGACACACTTCCCTTATTTATCTCAACATAAATATTAAACATTGCCTTCATTAGTATAACAACTCCGGTGAAACACAGAGCAAGTCTTTGCCGAGTGGCGCCATCTATAGCACGCCCCCCTCGACGAGCGCGGCGTCTCATCGTCGCTACTTACAAATACAAAGTGACCGCTGGTTGCGCAGTTGCAGCACCAAGAGTTCGCGTTAGCACGTTCTCCGTCCTCTCGCTCCTCCACAGGACCCGCCACCGTCTAGAACAAGAGAACAGCTGAATGTTTAACGCCACCTGGTGACGGGAGAACAGACAGGTCGAACCCGGGAAATCGTGGAGAATCACGAGAGAATTAAAAAAGTTAATCACGAGAAAACGTAGACGTATCATATGTGTAGTGTACATGTATGTTTTTGCTAAGGCTTGGGTTGAAAGTAAGTCAGAAGCGTTGGATGTGGCCAAAGGGTTTTGGTAAGGTGAGGGTAAGGGTTTGGGTTACGATATGAGGGGGAGTAAGGGTTCAGATTGGGGGGGGGGCTATCAGTTTGGAATAAAGTAGGGAAGAGGAGTAACGAGTTTGAGCTAGGGTGACGGCAAAAACCTTGGTGTAAAGGTCAGAGAAAAGTGCTCGGCTTAAACTGGAAGGCAAGTTAAAATACGATGCAGGGCAAGAGTAGGGATGAGGAGGAAAAGACGGATGAGGAGAAAGAGGAAGAGGAGGAGTTGAGGAAGGCAAATGAGGTTGGGGAAGTTAAGGATCAACATCATAGCAATGTCACAGGGAGAGCAGGATTAGTACGGAGGGGGCAGTGTCGGCTCGCCCCGCCCGCGCGCTCACCGTGCGATGGTACATGCGCCACTGATCAGGGCAGTCCTGCATCTCGTGGCCCTTCATGAAGCAGCGACGACACAGCAGGCGGTGCTTGCGCGGCCGTGAGCAGGTGCGCTGCGTGTGGTTCGGCGCCAGGCAGTTGTTACAGAACACGCGGCGGCACCGCTGAATGACGTGCCCTCCGCCGCACAGGTAGCACACCGGCGCCCTCTGCAAAATGAAAGTGTCAATGACACTGTAGCTCACCTTGGGTGTGATAGAAGAGGGAGGGGGGGATATATAAAGCAAGAGTATATATGGGAGAACTGCCATTATATAGCATATCTCCCATTATATACTTTTGATAATGATGATATATAAGTAATTTTTGATGCGAAAATAAATGTTTCAGATCTGTTGGCATACAATCTGATGGCGTTGACTGTAGGCAGACACTGAAATGCATAGTAAAATTGCCAAAATCTACCTAATTTGCATAATTAAAAAAACAAAAACAAACCGTGTGATATGTTTTGGAGCCAGTCCTTATTCATTCACATACCAGAATTGAGCAAAATCCGTTGAACCCGAACTGACTTATGGCCATTTCCATTTTTGTCAAAAAGTGGGCGTGGCTCAAAAGGAGGTCGACTGGCGTGCTCCAAAATAGGACGTTCAAACCTCTCCCATAGGAGTAACAACTATGCAATTTGAAACATGTGGGTCAAACGGTTCCCGAGTTATCGTTGACCGTAGCCAAATGTTGACGGACGGACGGACGGACGGACAGACGAACGTACGTACGACGAACGACACCCCATGGCAATAGCTCATCTTGCTGATGTCAAGGCGAGCTAAAAACGAAGCTGGGAAGTGAGAACGGAATCTTCGTGGCATTCGCGAACTCTGGGGAATGTTGCAAGAGGCATCAGAAGCAACTCTGCTGGTGGGTGTGCAAAACAAAATTAGTCATAGCATAATTAGTCGTAGCGTAATTATGTCTCAGCATCGACTCTTCCTCGTAGAACCACACCTCCTCTACACACTGCGTATGAGAGACTCATAACTTTACCGCGTTTCTGTCGACGGTCACTGCAACAATACAAAGTTAATGTTGAGACTGATGCTAGGATTAATTTTGCTTCTAACATGCCCGTGAATTGAGAATGATGGTTCTAATATAACCCCATGGAGTTGATTACATTACATTAATACTCCACCAATTTTCACGACGATGACGACTGATTCATACGCCCGAGTGTGATAAGTGACAACCACGTCACCTACGGGTACGGTCGCTATAGGTCAGCTAAACCTCACCCGGTTTACACGTGTTTTTTATGCGTGCGCCCCAAAATTAACGACCTCGCTTCACTTCGCTACCTAAAATCATCTTTTAGATGTGCTATCACGAGGGCGATTAGCTAGAGCTGCCGGCCAATAACGTCGAGAGGACGGGTCGAATTCCGGCGACGATTTTCGGCTTGGTTGACCGAGTTCGGGGGGTTAACGCAATGAACGCTCACCTTATTCGGACAGGCGTGAGCTTGATGGCCCGGCTGGTCACATTCCCAGCACCGCGCCAACTGCAAGTAGAAGCCAAAGTCGTAACGGTCCTCGTCCAATATGCGCCACTCATCTGAAACACCGATCCGAGACACGGGGAGGTTAGGATCGAAACGAGACGCGACTCGGCGAGAGTAAATATCTGCATGATTAATACATGCATGATTTACGCACATTAGTTCAGCTTTGAAGACACGTTGAACGACGAACAGCCACGGGAAGAACCCTGACGTGACCTTCTGATGTGACCTTCACCTGCGTCGGCAGCCGTCGTTTCAGGACGCAAGAGCTGGACCCTACTCGCCTCGTCGAAATTAATCAGGAGACGCTTGTTAGGCGATTCTCCGTCGTTGCCATCAAGGGTTGGCATCCTCTCCTCCTCCTCCTCCTCCTTCTCATTCGCTCGCTCCTCCTGTAGTTCTTTCCTGTTTTCTTCTGTGACTCGACCGCTTCCTTTCTTCACCTTCCCATCGCCGTCGTCGTCATCGTCGATGACGGTGACGATCGTCTCCTTCTCCTTCTGCTTCGCTGGCTTCTCCCGTATTTCTTCCTTCCTGTTTTCTTCTGCGACTCGACCGCCTCCTTTCTTCCCCTTGCCGACGACGATCATTTCTTCGTTCTCATCAGTGCTGTCCAGAACAATGACGACGACCTCCTGCGACGCCGCCGCCGGCGCCACCTCGTGGCGCACGATCTTGGCATCGTCCGTCCGCCTAGCTGCCATCCTGGAATTGGAACACGATGTAGCGCAATGAATGTAGAGGTCACGCGTGGCCATGCATGCAATCGCGACGCTGTCAATTAGAACTAGACACCCTGAAATAAGTTGATACCTTGTCTATTAATTTTTAATCCTAGTTTAGGACCCCGGCCCTCATTTTCGCAAACGTGATGTGGTGGAACGAAGGGCCTATGTACTTATAGTTCTAGAGTTAGCTCCAAGAAACGGTCTTGCTAGGGTTAGAAGACCTATATATACAATACATATAGACAATTAATCGGTCGCACAGCCTGGTCGGGCTATTCTAGATACAATAATGTAACCCAAACCCAAGAGGATAGGGGGTCCCTAGGGGGTCCCTATCCTCTTGGGAATAGGGGGGTCCCTATCCTCTTGGGGATAGGGGGATAGGGGGTCCCCCTCGAGCTTCCCCTAGGGATAGGGGGATAGGAGGTCCCCCTCCCCCTTTTGGATAGGGGGATAGGGTCCCTATCCTCTTGGGGATAGGGGGGGGGGGTGCAAATCAACTTTAGGCACCTTAGGTATCACGAAGTGATGCACAGATTTCTGTGTATCATCAACTGATGCACAGA